CCAAAGAAGTCACCCAGAGGCCCAGCAGGGAAAGACATTGGTTTATTAACTCTTTGCACTCAGAGACATCTCACGGATGACCTACCAGCAACTCAACTGCACTTTTTTCCAAAATAGTGGGAAAAAAAAAACAGTTCATATTAAATAGTATAGCCATTGAAACCAATTATTTTATAGTAATGATTTTTGGCTTATGATGAAAGTTGGGACATTGAGGAACTTATTTATGATTAAAAAAATCAAACTTTTGTATCACATATTTTTCTCACATGTGGTAGCATGTGAAATAGTCACTGACATGCACGGCAGGTTCAGGGATACATGCTGTGCAACAGTAATTTGTTTGACATCTTCCACCTGGTGTTTTTCTATTCAAGCAGACAATTCAATCTCATTCTCTTCTGCCCACATTAATAATAAGTAATTTATTGTCCAGTTTGTTGTTCAAAGACGATGTGGAAGAACATACTCATGGTTCCTAAACACCACTTCTCAACTGATCAATCAGAAGCTTGACAAATTTCAAATGAGACATAGGTTTTTCTTTTTTTAATGCTTGGTATACAGGAGTTAATAACACATATTTCTAGTCCCCAGAAGAATAATCTCCTCCACCATTTTTTTTTTTTTGAGTTGGAGTCTCACTGTCGCCCAGACTGGAGTGCAGTGGCCGCTCCCGGCCACCGCAGCCTTGACCTGCTGGGCTCCGGCGATCCTTCCGCCTCAGCCTTCCAAGTAGCTGGAACTACAGGCACGTGCTGCCACACCCAGCTAATTTTTTAATTTATTGTAGAGATGAGGTCTCACCAAGTTGCCCAGGCGGGCCTCAAACCTGCGGGCTCAGGTAATCCACTCACTTCAGCCCTTCTCCACCATTTTTAAAGATTCTCACAAAAAACATGTAGAAGCATATTGATCTGCATGATCCTCATCATTCATGTTAGCAATATAATAGTATAACATTGAAACCAATTATTTTACAGTAATGATATTTGGCTAGAATAATTTCAGGCTTTTTGACTGATATAATATTTCCACCATGTAATGTCCTTGTGGTAGATTTAATTCCTGCATGATTCCACGTGCTGAGAATGGTAACGATCCTTTTGTCCTTCTATACAAGAAGCATAAGATTGTTTTTCCTTTATGCTACTGTTTTTTGGTTTAAAACTTTGGGTTTTTGTACTGGTAGTCCCTTTCATTCGTTAGTAGCTCTTCTGCTAAAACAATATTAGTGTAATATCTGTCAGTAAACATGTGGTATCCTGCTGCACTGGGAACTTTTCCAACAACTTTTTTACATAAATTTAATGGAATTCAGGTGCTTACTGGAAGATCAGGTCAAATGATGTTTTCAGATGTTATGCTGCCATAGTAGGGAAGTACTGAAAAAAGATACCATGTTTTTGAATCAGCACATAAAAGCATATATCTCATTTGGTAGGCTTACTTGGATTGTATGTTCATACATGATATTTGTCCTTTAAATTGAACAATGAATTTGCCAATGCAAATTGCCTGATCTGGTATGAAATATTGTGAAAATTTGCATCAATGTATACCAAATAATCATTGGCCTTTTAAATACAATTTCTGATTGTTCCATCATTCGACACAGGTGTCTTCAAATGAAGCATCAAGAAGATTTGTATAAATACTTCTCTACTGAATGTTTCCAAAAAGAAGAGTATTATACCACTGAAAGCAGTTGACAAGTACTCTTGCAAGTTTGGTATTTGAATTATTCCCATCTTGCCACTTAGGCTAAATCAATTTGTGATAGCTGTTTTTTCCTTAATTTTTCATCCACGTACAATTTCTTTATTTTATTACACTATCCACCAATTCATTTGTGAAATAGAGAATAAAATAGTCTGTTCTTTTATATTACTTGCTATTTGTGGTCCTATTGTTTGAGGATGTACAATAAAATTTATTCTTGCTGGAAGATCCTCTTTTTCTGTAACATCTCCCCATTCTTCACTTGACGATAACTACTAACACTTTCATCACTATCACTTTCTATTACATTAACCAGTTTTCTTCTTGGTGGGGTGATATCACTATCACTACTATCATTTTCTTCCACATCAACTTTTTCTAACTTATCTGTATAAAAGTCTAAATCTAACTCATCTTCGCTACTGCCTATAACTCTCACTTTTGTCTTTCCATTTTGCCATTGTTCTACAAACTAAATAAATGGAATAAAAATTATCAATTGTAAATTACAAAATCACAAAATAAAACTTATCAAAAGAATATTACTTTTCCAATTTTATTTTTCTGACAGTGCAGATAGATATATTTAATTACTCAATACTTCAAGATGATCTGCCTTCAACCTCAAAAATCTCTTTAAGGCTACAGTAGCTTGCTTATCTATTTTTTCAAGTTATGCCATATGATACAAAGGATATACCTACTACAGCCTTTCTTATATAAACGCTCTTTATCACTACCTTCTGTTACAAAGATGTGTCAGGCACCACTATGAAAGCACTTCACACATTCTCCTTCTATGAGACAACAGCTGATTTTACATATATTTCGTATGTGTTTTCAGCTCTTTTTTGCTTTTTCATACACTTTGAATACAAAATATCTAGGAAGCCTACATTTTTTTAAGATGTGTGCTTGCATAAGTTGTCCTTTATAATACCCAGCAACCTCTTTATGTTGCCTGAGAGAAGACATCAGAGTGTTTGCTAGATTAACGATGTCCCCTCAGAGGAGACATTCGCGTGCAAAGGGTTAAAATTTACAGATATACAGGTCAGTCAAGAAGCAATTTTATAATCAAAGCCATCAAGTTAGTCATTCAAATTCCTATATGGTGTTTACAATGATATTGATAAAGAGTGATGGGCCAGGTGCAGTGGCTCACGCCTATAATCCCAGCACTTTGGGAGGCCAAGGTGAGAGGATTGCCTGAACCCACAGATTCAAGACCAGTCTGGGCAACTTGGCGAGACCACATCTCTACAATAAATCAAAAATTAGGCGGGCGTGGTGGCATGTGCCTGTAGTTCCAGCTACTTGGAAGGCAGAGGTAGAAGGATCACCTGAGCCCAGCAGGTAGAGGCTGCGGTGGCTGTGAGCATGCCACTGTACTCCAGTCTGGTCAACAGAGTGAGACTCCAAATTAAAAAAAAAAAAAAAGTGGCTACACTGTTTTCGGTTTTGCTTTTGTCACCTGCATCCCATAATTCATTACTGGGAATATGCATACCCTTCAGAGACCAGTCTTGGCCTAAGGCCACTCCTTTAGGGAGAGAGCAGAAAGAAGCCAGGTATGGTGGAAACAATCTATGTTCCGACAACACCCCACGTAACCCTATTTGAAATGGGGTTTGGTTTGTTTGCCACTGTATCACCAAGGGCCACCACAGTGCCCCGTGTACAGAAGACATGGTGTGCTCAGTGAATGTTTTTTCTGTTGCAGGAATGAAATCTAGTTTCTTGAAACGTCCACCTGTTGATCCTAATTTTACTCTCTATAAATATATTGGAAAAAAGTATACATTACTGTATGTGGAGCATATTTCAATAAAGTACATTTTAAAATCACTCTTTTGTTAACTCTAGCACTCATCTGTTTTTAGCAACTGCTACTGTTGCTGACTTCAAAGAGGTATAAAGAAGCAGTTAAGGGTATGAACTCTAGGTTACATCACCTGTGTTGGAATCTGAGATCCAACATTTGCACACACAAAATAGATCTCTCCTGTATGAATATGGACACATTATCTAACCTTCTGTACGCCACTTCCCTCATTTGGAAAACCCAGATAAGATTTCAATTGTTTTTAAGAGCTAAATAGGATAATGTCTGTAAAGAGCTCACCACAGTTCCTGGCACAGGAATGTTAGCAAAACTATTATTGCTGTCTCACCAGATTGAAAGGAAAACTCCTAGCAAGTGGTAACATGTTTTCATATCTCTAAGACTTAGTTTATACAAGTTTCAACATATATAGATTTAAAGCCATCATCCTATAAATCTGGCTAAGGCACCTCTTCCTTCCACATATTCCCATAGCACCCGGAACCTAGTTCACCTGTCATTTATCCCAGCAGTCATTTTACTAGTCTGTCTCCAACACTTGACCTTTATGAATAGGTCTACCTTGTTCACCATGTTATCTCCAACACCTGCAACAACAATCATTGGATCATTTAACTGAATAAATGCCTCTGGGTCGCTATCTGCCCTATGAGAGGCATTTAAAAGATTATTTATTGACTGCTTCTGCCCCCACAATGAAAACTTAGGCAGTCAATTTCTGTCTTGTTCACTGCTGTATCTAGTAACCCCTTCTGGGACTGCTATAATAGAGGCTCCAAAATATTTGCTGGATTTTTTTATTCTTTTGCTGTTGTTTTTAATGTTAAACCGTGTTCTCTCATAGGTTTCTATGGAACTAAATATTAAGCCTGTCTATTATTGACTCCATAGCGCTACTGACGAGCTGTTTGTGCTCATCAATATTTTCCCAAAGCCTAGTCTTGGAACAGAAAAAGCAGATTATGTATTTGCATGAATAAATGAATGCTATTTTCCAAGACTGAAAAAAGACAGCAAAATGACAAATGCAGTATCAGAAGAGCTGTGGGCGATGTGAGTAAGGGCTTTTTGTTTTGGTACATGCATTTCTTTAATTTCTGAATTCTCTAGAATGGTTATACTAATGAAAAAGCAGTTATGATGTATAACGGAAGCTCTTTCCTCTTTAAGCAAACGGGTTTGCGGAAGCCAATGCGTCAAGCACCCCTCGCTCCCGGTCTCTCTTACGCCTGGACAGGAGAGACGTGGCCTCGACCCCAGGTGCGGCGGCGGCCTGGAAGTCCGCGCTCCCTCCCAGACCTGGCAGCCACTGACCTGAAGGCAATCCAACGCGCAAAACCGGAAGACAGCGCGCTACCGCAGAGACGCCTCTACCGGCTCTAGTGCCGACCCCCGGCACTCTGAGTAACCCACCCCACCGCCCCGCACTCACCACCAGCGAGGCTGTGAACCCTGGCCGGTCCATGGCCCCACAGAACTCTTCAAGGCTGTAATTCGAGACTTAGCCGATGTGGGTAGCACCGCGTGCGCAGGGCGCCGCCATCTTGGGGGAGGGGCCTGAGTGCCTGGACTTCCGGAACGATGTGACGTCAAACCACAACAACCGCACGTGCAACCCAGGATGACTGGGACACTGGGAGCGCGTGCGGCCGAGAGGAAGGGAGGCGGGGCTTGGGGAGGGTGAGATCTAGTTGACTCTGGCGACTCTTCTCCGCCTCGGGTTCCTGCCGCAGCCTTGAGAAGCAGCTCTTGACGAAGGAACTGTCCCGAGCAAATGAGCTACGACTGGGATTCGGGAGAGGGAAGTCAGGGTAGGATGATTCTACATTGTAAACCCGAAAGAAGCGTGGTTATTACGGAGAGAGGGGCCGTCGAGCTTCAGGACTAACTTCTGGAGGAAAGACCTGTGGCTTTCTATTATGCTGAGTCCTTATCGGTTATTTTATTTTGGGTTTATTATTCAGAAACGGAGTTTCACTCTGTCACCGAGGCTGCAGTGCAGTGGCGCGATCATAGCTTGCTGCAGCCTTGGGCTTATGGGTTCAATTGATGCTCCCGCCTCAGCCTCTCGAATAGCTAGCTGGGCAGGTGCATGCCACCACGCCTGGCTAATGTTCTTCTTTTCAATTTTTATTTTTTTCGAGAGGCGGGGGTCCAACTCCTGGCCTCAGGCTTCCACCTCAGCCTCCTGAGTAGCTGCGATTACAAGCGTGAGTCTCCGCCCCCAGCTTCATTTTGGTTTATCTCTTGGTTTTATCTGTCCAAGTTTAGTCTGAATTTATTAAATTAACTCATTATTAGAAGATTATTAAATAAAGATATGGAAAAATACTTCAAGTTTCCTTACTTAACCTAAAAATTATCCTCCTCCACTTCTTACAGGCAGTTATTGCACTTAAAATTATTTACTTGTTCAATTATTTACCTACTTGTCCTGTTTGCTGTACCCTGTATACACTTCAAACCACACATTAGTAACTATTTTATAAAAGTTTCTTGGAGTGGATCTATCTTTATTAAAATGCCCTCTAACCTATGTATATTACGGGCCAACTATATCTCAGACGTGGTACTAGGTGACAGAAGACATTTTTTCATTTAATCCTGACACCAACCCTATGATGTCAGTACTACTGTCCTCATCTTATAAAGGATACTGATGTTCTGAGTAGCTAACCCAAAACTACAGCAAACATAGCAGAACAAGCCATGAAAATGTACTTAGTGCCTTCATTATCTTTCCTCAAAACCTCACAATAGCCTAAACAGGCTTCTTGTCTAACCTTTCTTCAAACCATCTTCTGTAACACTTGCTAGAATTATTCTTAGACTTACTCTAATTATCATCTAGATAAGATGACCTAGAAATGGCTAGCAGAATAGCTTTAGGTGTTAGATGGATTCAAATTCGGAATTATCACCTATTGAGCTTGGGCATAACTTCTCTGAGATTGAGTTTTCTTCCCTGTAAAGGGGGGATAATGATATTACCTTTTTCATGTGGCACTGTTCCAGATTAAGTGAGATAATGCATTCAAGTTCTTAGGCTAGTTCCTGGATCATAGAAAGTACTCTCTAAAGATGATAATCATGTCATCACTTCCCCTCTTAAAACAACTCCCTTCTGCTGCCCATGGGGGACAGCCCAGTTCCTTAGTATGGTACACACCTCTCAGCTGGTGTCTCCTATCACTCTTCTCACTGACTGGACCACACACAGTCAAAAAGACTACATACTTCAAGCCTCTTTATTTTGCCTGTGTTGTTCCCTCTACCCAGAATGCTTTCCCTATGCTGACTGCAAAACATCAGACCTCTCCTGTTTGCCACATGACCACCTCCATAGGCCCTCTCAAATCATACTAGTTCAAGGCCAGCAGGAGAATTTCTGCTGCTGCTGCCAGGATAACTTTCCTTTTGATTAACTCAAAGCCATCTGATTAGAGACCTAATTACATCTGCAAAATTCCTTTTGCCATATATCACAACATAATTATGGCAGTAAGTTTCTATTACACTCACAGGTCCTGCTCACACTTAAGGGGGTGATTATGCAAAACATGCACAAGAGGGGCCCCCAGAAACCTGGAATTACCTATTGGAGGACACGCCCCTTGAAGTACACTCAGAATTTGTTCCTCTGGATCAAACAGTTAACCAGATTTTATCTGGAAGTTTTGAGAAGGTTGTGTCACAATTTGCAGAAGAAACGTCCCAAGTTGTGGCAAATGAGACTGATTCTTCCACCACGACAACGCAGCTGCCCACACCGCACTAAGTGTTCAGCAGTTTTTGACCAAAAACAGCATGACCCCTGTGCCCCACCCTCCCTATCCACCCAATCTCACCCCAAGCGAATTTTTTTGTTTCCCTAGATGAAAAAAGTTCTCAAAGGGAAAGATTTTGTCGATGTGGAAGAGGTGAAACAAAAAAACAGCAGAGGCACTAAAAGGCATCGAAATTGAAGGTTCAAATATCGGTTTGAGCAGTGAAAACAGTGTCTTGATAGGTGTGTTGCATCAAGTGGAGTGTACTTTTAAGATGACTGAAGTTTAAACATGTAAGAATAAATACACAATTTAAAAAAATAAAGTCTGGTGTTTTGGGAGGGGTCCCCCCTTAAGGTCATCTTAAAATTCTGCCTACTGCACTTTCCTATAAGCTGTCACTGGCAGCCTCCTCTTAGGCCTTCAAGGTTCTAGCAATAAACTTTTACTAATATTCCTTTCAAAGACTTTCCACATTTCACCTACTGCCTGGTGCCAAGGACACTCCCACAGTATAGAAGTTACAGCAGCACTCAGTCTTCAAGTACCAAAATATATATTACTTATTTCTGCATAGCAAATTACCCCAAACATTAACAGCTAAAAAGTAACAATAAATTTTTATTACCTCACACAGTTTTTGTGGGTCAAGAATCTGGGAGTAGTTTAGCTGGGTGGTTCAAACTTAGGGTTTCTCATGAGATAACAGTTAAGATGTTGACCAGGGTTATATCCTAAGATTTGACTGGGACTGGAGCATCTACTTCCAAGATGGCTCACTCCCTTGACTGGCAAGTTAGTGCTAGCTATTAGCAGGTGGCTCAGTTCCTCACCCATAGACCTCTCCATAGTACTGCTTGAGTGTTCTCATGACATAGCAGCTGGTTTTTCCCAGTGTAAGTGATACAAAAGAAACAAAGAAACTACAAAGTCTTATAACCTGTCCTCAGAAGTCACTACATTGTCATTCCTGCAAGAGTCTATTGGTTACACAGGTAATCTATACTCATTATGAGGTTGGACTGCACAAAGGCATGAATACCAGGAGGTGAGGATCACTGGGTACCATTTTGGAAACTTGCTACATCAGGGAAAGGTAAGTGAAAACCACAATGAAATATGACCATACACACGCTAGAGTGGCTAAAATTAAAAAGACCACAAAAACAAAGTATTGGCAAGGATGAAGAGCACTGAAACACACATTCATTGATACTGGGAATTTGATATGGTACAACCATTATAAAATTCAATGTCCCTTTTAGGTTTTTACCCAATAAAAATAGACATATGTTCCTATAAAGACTTTTACATTATTGTTCAACGCAGCGTTATCCATAGTAGGCAAAAAAAGAAAAAGAAAAAGAAAATAACCCAAATGTCCATCAACTGGTGGATGAATAAACATATTGTGGTGCATCTTTACAAAGAAATATTACTCCACAATAAAAAGAAATTAATTACTGACACATGCAGCAGCATGGATTAATCTCAAAGCATTATGCTAAGTGAAAAAAGCCAGAACAAAAGACTACATATTTTGTTATTCTACTTATGTGAAATTCTGGAAAAAACAAAACTATAGTGGTTTCCAGGGGCTGTGGGGGAGGCAAAGGATTTACTACAAAAGGGACACAAAAGACTAGTTTGCAATGATGAAGATATTCTCTGTTATTATTGTGGCAGTGGTTACAAAGGTGTATACATTTACCAAAATGTATCGACTTGCACAATTAAAATGGATGCATTTATTATATGTAAATTATATCTCAACAAAGTTGATTAAAATATGAGTATCTCACAGGACGATGAGGATTGAATAGTATATGCATGGAAAGTATTTAGCCTAGTGCTCGGCATATAGAAAATATTGAGTTCATTCAGTATTTTCCTATTTAAGTTAGAGATTCTGAATGTTATGAATGAGAGACTGATAAGTTATCAAGGAGTATAAGTACTTTGTGATACATACTATTGTAACTTCCTAAGTGAAAATATATCCTGTTTTCACTTACTATGTTCTTGGAAGTTTTAGATGCAATTCCTCCCTAAGAGAAAATTTAACCCAGATTTATAAATTTAATTTTGATTTAATGCAGTTCTTGGTGTAAAATTAAGAAAAAAAAAAATTTTTCTCTTCAATGTAATGATTGTCTTTAACTGTATAAGGAAAAATTGTTTTGATGCCATTTTCTAGTGACCTTGAGGGAACTATACTATAACAGGTGCATTTCAGAATCAAGAAGAAATATATATTCTCTCCTTTTGTGCAAAGCTTTGCCAGGAATTTCATGATGCCACCAGAAGGCCTTCAGGAGATACAGATATTACAAACATGACCTAGAGCCTCCTTTTCATGAAAGGTTAGCAGAAAGATTCCTTATTACTTGTGCGTGCTTTTTAAATGGAGTGTTTCTATGCATCATCATTACCACCACATTGCAGGCAGCACGTGTTCTCAAATCTTTCATTTTAAAAGATACAGGCAATGTGACAAGCACTCATCTGCATTATGCATGTGATATTATAATAATAATATACCTCACTTAAATCTACCATTGTAAGACAAGTTTACTTTAAACTACTGTAAGTCAAGTTTACCTTTAAACAAGCTCTAAAATAATATTTTTAAAAATTAGCAAGAGGTCAAAGACATACGTCAAAAACAATTAGGAAAAAGCAAGAACATAATCTTCAACCTGGACTAGGTTTAAGATCCATGCTCC